CTTTTCAGGGCTGTAGAGCTACCGGGCTATATGGGCTCTTGGGCGCTATATGCCTAGATGGGTTATAGGGCTATAGGGCGATAGGGATATAGGGCTATAAGGCGAGGGCTACAGGACACTGGGCACCTGGCACCCGGGCACCCACCCAGGCACCGGGCACCCGGCACCTGGGCACCCGGGCATCCGGGCACCTGGGCCCGGCCACCGAATCGGCGGCGAACCCGGGCATCCAGGCACCCGGGCACCCGGGCCCGGCCACCGAATCGGCGGCGAACCCGGGCACCCGGGCACCCAAGCACCCGGACACGGCCACCGAATCGGCGGCGCACCTCGCCTACCCTTAAATACGCTAGGACCCCATACAGAGGCAAGTTCTGATTGAGGAAATACTACGACCACGCTACTACGACTACGACAACAACGACTACTACTACTACTACTACTACTACTACTACTATTACTACGACTACTATTACTACTACTACTGCTACTTCTACTACTACTACTACTACTACTACTACTGCTACTTCTACTACTACTACTACTACTACTACTACTACTACCACTACCACTACTACTACTACTACTACTACTACTACTACTACTACTACTACTACTACTACTCGCACTACTACTACTACTACTACTACTACTACTATTACTACTACTACTACTATTACTAGTACTATTACTACTATTTTTATTAATATTATTACTATTACTACTACTACTACTACTACTACTACTACTACTACTACTACTACTACTACTCTTTCTTGTGCGATTACTACTACTACTACGACTACTACTACTACTAGCTCTTCTTCTTTATTTACTACTACTACTACTACAACAAATACTACTACTACTGCTACTACTACTACTATCACTACTACTAGTACTATTACTACTAGTACTACTACTACTACGACTACTACTACTACTACTACTACTACTACGACTACTATTGCTACGACTACTACTACTACTACTACTACTACTACTACTACTACTACGACTACTCCTCAGACTAGAATTACCTCTACTACTCTTACGACCTGTCTTACTATGTACTATTTCTACTACGACGACTACTACTACTACTACTACTACTACTACTACTACGACCACGACTACGATTACTACCACTTCCACTACTATTGCTACGACGACATCTACTACTACTACTACTACTACTACTACTACTACTACTACTACTACCACTACTACAATGGCTTTTATTGCTACTATTACTACCACGATGTTTCGTATTATTGCTACTACTTCTACACTATGGTTACTCTTACTACACCAACTTTTTCTATTAAGATTGCTACTGCCACTACTACGACTAGTACTACTCCAACAACCAGTACTACTGTAACTACTACCACTACTAGTACTACTGCTACTACTACTACTACTACTACTACTACTACTACCACTACTACTACGACTACTACTACGACTTGCATTCGTAGTAGTAGTAATACTACTATATTCTTATTTTTACTACTGCTACTACTACTACTACTACTACTACCACGGCGAATGCGACTACTACTATTCGACAATACCACCATTACCGACACAAACTATTGTTACTACTACTGCTACTACTACTACTACTACTACTACTACTACTACGGTTACGATTGCTAGTGCTACCAAGATCACTACATGTATTCCCTAACTAGTACTACTTTTGCCACCGCTACGATTACTACTATTACATTTCTACTACTGCATGTACTTGCGCTACTACTGCTGCTACTACTAGTACTTCTACGACTACTACTACTACTACTACTACTACTACTACTACTACTACTACCACTGTTACTAGTATTACTATTTCTACAACTACTATTACGGGTATCATTATTTCTACACTTAATTGTGCGACTACTACGACGACTTACGATTACGACTGTTACTCTTACCGTTACTACTACCATGATTTCTACTACTCCTATTACCACGATTACGACCACCACTACTGCTACTACAACTATTAGTATGGCTACGACCCCCACACCTACTACTACGACTACGACTACGATTACTACTGGTACACTTACTTCTGCTATTTTTAATTTTACTATTCGAGCAACTAGTATTCTGTAGTATCGCTATCACTACTACGACCGCTACTACTACGACTACTACTACGACGACGACGGCTACGACTACTGCGGTTATTATTAGAACTATTACGACGACTACTACTAATATTATTAGTTCTGTTATTTTTACTAATACCGACTACTAATACTCTTACTACTAGCAGTACTGCCACTGATACGGCAATTACGTTTACGATGGCCATCACTATTACGATTTCTACTACTACTACTACTGATATTACGATTACTACTACTACTACTCCTACTTTTACTACGACTACTGCCGTTAAAACTACGAGCGCTACCATTTCCACTGCGATTATTATGTTGATGATTGCGCCTACCACGGCTGCTACGAAAACTGCAACTCTTAC